TATGGGAGGGAGTTCAGAAAAGAAGAAGGAAAACAAATGGAATATTCCCTGTGAACTTGATAACAATACTGAGTTTAACCTACATTAGTAAAACCAAAGGGATGAATTAAAATATTATGTGTTTAATGACCATGTGTCCTCTTAGATGCAAAGAAAAAAATATTTGAAATTGAAGAAATTTTAGAGTAATATTAATTCAATTTTATTTATAGTAGAAATCCTTTTTATATCTTGCCATTGTAGGCTTCTCATTCCTCTAGGATTGAATTCTTTTTGATTCTTGACAATTTTGATCTCTTCTAACTTCTATAGTAATACTTGGTATTCCATTATATGTCTTGATTCTGTTACAGTGTGTGATCCCTGAAATAATCTGTGTCATCTTGTCTATCTAGTGAATGCTTTGTCATTCTTTAGTTGTTCTCTCATCTGAGGTACTTCTATGACCTTAGGCATTTTGCATTTTCTCCTTTTTTGGTATGTGTGTGTATGTGCCATGTTACACACACATATATCATACACACGGACATAATTTCTATTTGAAGTTATATTTTTTCAAATTTAAAATTTAAATTATGTATATGTAATATTACAAATTGAAATTGTGTACATATTTCAATAATTTGGGATTTGAAACTGCTCAGTTCCCATATTTCCCTGATCTTTGTTCTTTTTTGTCCTTTTTCTTAATAGAATAATTGTCATAATTTAATTGCATGACCATCATAATTTAATTGAGGTTTTTCTGTTGAAGTAGCAATCACAAGTTACTGAAAAATTTACTGTCTTTAACCAAATGATAATATTGTCCCTGCTTTGTAGATAATTATTTTATAGAATACAGTACTGATGCAGTATTTTGTAGGAATTTTTAGTAGGAACTTCCCTAAATGCTTTACATAAATGAGTACTGGAGATCTTCTTGGTAAAATAGAGACTTGTAGTCAGCCTATTGCTACAATAATGTTACTCATACATTTTAAACTTATGAATACACCCAGTAATACTATCAGAATTGATTCAACATGTTTAGAATTCATTAGAGAGAAAATGGCTTCCAAGTCTGGAAGTAAATATTATGCTTACAATTCTTACTGTCCTTGTTTACATCAAGCCATAGACTTACATATTAGGACCCTCTCTGCATTTATAACATCATTTTGCAATTCAGACTTTCAGGTTGAATCACTTCTCATGTTTTCTCCAGAAAGCCACAGTACTGCTTACAAAATTGCAAAATTTTGAAATTTTAAGTAAAAATAAACTTCCTGCCAAATTTTTCCAGACCAAGGAACATTAGAATTATCTATTCTGTCCACTTTAGCTCTTCTTCACAGAACTTTTTCAGAATCACATTTGATCCTAAAGGACTTTATGAATTTTATTTCTTCATTACAAGCCACTAAGATAATATTTTAAAGCAACTTTGAGACATTTATTGTCTAATGCAACCAAAGCAATAGTAAATCTGTGTCTGATCACAATATAGTACTTTATGAAATGTGTTAAGAGCTCGATTTACAAACTGGGAAGAACCCATACCATGATTTTAAAAGTTGGTAGTCTTTATATTATCTTTCAGAGAGTTGGGAAGTGTGGTATATATGAAAAAAATCAAAATTCAGTTGATTAGGTTTATTAGGTTATAATTAGCCTGAAAACTAAAATCAACAACAACAACAACAAACAAATAAACCAACCATAGTTTGGAGAAGTACATTGTTAGTTGGTGATTGTGAACAACAGACAGCAAGACAGGAATGAATCTGCCTTTTGTGAAATAGTAATTAACCACTTACAGAAGACAAACACAAACAGAAAACAAATAAATAAACAAAACAACACATGAGACTCCTAAGGATGAGGGACAGAGGCTTTCTAGAAATTAGGTTGGCCAATATATTTGCAGAGGTATGAGGTATATGCAGATATATCTCATAATGTGTGTGTGATTCTCTTATACTGTAAATCAAATTATTAAAGTGTTTTAAGTGACAACAGCAATTAGACCTGGAGAGAAATTGTATGAAAGAAATTATGTTCAATTGTCTACATTGTTTTTTGTGCACAGATAATGAAAAACATATGCTGCTTATCTCAAAGCATTAGCATTGAGACATGGCTAAGGTCTTTTGGAAATTGTAAAGATTATTGATATTATTTGAAACTGAATGAATATGTATTATTATAATCATGTTTTAAAATACTTTTAATAATCTAGAGATGCTCTCATTTTCAAAATTATCCAGTGTGAAAGAAGTGGTACCAAATGTAAAGAAAACTCACTAGTAAATACTAGAAAATGTATGGAGGAATTCCATTCTAGCAAAGTATTGAGAAGTAAAGAGACCTATTGTCATGGTATATGAAAGTAAAGTTTTTCAGACTTTTTATTGTGAAATATAAGCAATAGCAGAGGAATATTCTTAAGTTTCATGTATTCTTAACAACAATAAAATGGATATTCATGATCTAGCTTAAGAAGTGGAAAATAACTCATAATTTTGAAGCCATATGTCCCTCAAAAGTTTCATCTCTTTCCACAGATATAAATGCTACTATGAATTTTCTGTTAATCTTGCTCTTATTCATTTTTATTGATTTTTTAAAAAATAAATGACAGTGGAATGCATTACAATTCTTATTACACATATACAGTAAAACTTTTTCATATCTCTGCTTGTATATAAAGTATGTTGACACCAATTCGTGTCTTCATACATGTACTTTGGATAATGATGTCCATCACATTCCACCAACATTTCTAACCCCATGCCCCCTCCCTTTCCCTCTCACCCCTTGGCCCTATCTAGGATTCATCTATTCCTCCCATGCTCCCCCTCCCTACCCTACTATGAGTCAGCCTCCTTATATCAGAGAAAACATTCAGCATTTGTTTTTTGGCGGGGATTGGCTAAATTCACTTAGCATTATCTTCTTCAACACCATCCATTTACCTGCAAATGCCATGATTTTATTCTCTTATTGCTGAGTAAAATTCCATTGTGTATATATATGCCACAGTTTTTTATCCATTCATCCACTGAAGGGCATCTAGGTTGGCTCCACAGTTTAGCTATTGTGAATTGTGCTGCTATTATAAACATTGATGTGGCTGTGTCATATTCTTTAGAGTTATACCACACATGTATCCCATCCAAAAGTGATAATGTATTTAATTGTCCTTGTTTCCAACCTTACATAAGTGTGATTATAACTATGTGTAGTATTCACAGCTTGCTTTTTTCCTACTTGTTTTTCATTTTCAAACACAATTATTCATGCAGCTGTAAGTCATTAACGTTTCCTGCTGTATCCTCTGCTATTGTATAGGACAATATCTGTGCTGTGTATGTGCCATTGCATAGGACACAAATCACATTTTTATTTATCTGTTCTAATGTAGATATTTATGTTGTTCCCAACATTGTTATTATGAATATGTTTATACATACATACTGTTACGCATGTGTAAAGATTTTTCTGGGTATTAGGAATAGAATTAATGGGTTAAAGTTGCATAATCCCTCTAACTGGGTCATGCCAAACTTTACACAAAGTTGATGTGTAAATATTTCCATTATTCTACATCCTCAATTGACAGTGTCAGGGTTTAAGGGTGATCATGTGGATATTCCACACCTTTTTGTGTCATCATTTTTGTTATGTACAATGAAGACTGACATCAAGCCAAATAAATTCTCTTTACAGATAAAGAGCTCCAAGAATTCCTATTTTGCCACAGACAATGGCAATAATATTACAGAACTGATAAGTCAGGGGAAGAAATTGGTTTCATGAAGTAAGATCTAAGTATATGAAGAAAGTGTCACATTTAATGGTCAAGAAATACAGTTCCATATGACACAAATGTCATAATCTCTAACAGACTTGAGTGGTCTAATCTATAATAAGTATTTCACTTATTGAAGTAGATTGATTTCATTTATTTAAAAAAATTCAAATTCTCTGAAGAAATTGATGTTTTATCTGTAGCAAATTATGTTAAAGCCAGAAATTAATGTTCATGACAGTAGAATTTTAACTTCAGTATCTTCAACAAATATTATCAAAAAATATTACCAACCCATCAAAGAATATTACACCTAACCTAGTCCTGATATATTTCATTAGTTACATATCTGTTCTTTTTAGTTTTTTTTCCAGATGCTTAAAACTGTAGTAGATCCCTGTTACTTCAAAGTCAGACTCTTCTGTGTTATTTTTATTTTTCATAAGTGTTTCATCTTCAGTCTACGTTTCTCCATCTTCCTGAGGGTAATAGCAGTGTGGCGTAGTAGAAAAGCTTTGGAGCCACAGACCTATCTCCTTTCTCATCTGTCACTTTCTAGCTGAGTGCTCTTAGGCAAATCATTTAACCTCACTTAGTTTTAATTTCTACCTCTATCCACTTGTAAGTGTTGTGATATTTATTGATAAATTCATAGAAAGTATCTAATTCAATGCCTCATATTATTCAATAACTTTTGTGCTCGAGGTAAGTGCTATACAATGAACTTTAAAAATTAAAAATTTATATATATAAATTATATATATAAAAATTTATATATATAAATTTATATATATGTAAAAATATAGCTGAGAAAACTGAGACTCTAGACAGTTAAATGAATTTCCCAAGGTCCCAAAGTTCCAGACTGACTTTAAAAGGCTATTCTCATACTGGTCATACCAGACCATCTGTGTGCTGCTTTTACCAAGCCGTACCTGTTTTCTGAATTCCTTTTTAACAACATGAAATTTTCATTTATTGTTTTGTAACTGTTTCACACAAATAGTTCTGTTTCTCCTTTTAGAGAGTCAGTATTTGATGCAGAGCCTTTAGCGTATTTTATTTTTCACAGTCCTCCTCCCCACCCCTGCCAAGTATCACACTCCCATAAAAAAAGTGTTAGGTTTAAATAGTACTACCTCTAATTTACTTTTACCATTGTTTTAAACCTTTTGGTTTCACTGTTGTTTATATCCTTTTTTTATAGCTCATATCAGCGGCCACATGGCTCTCTCCATTTGGATGATAGTGAATACTGGTCCAGGGCAGCCTCTTACAATAAGGGAAAATCCCACCGACCCGTCTTTGAGAACAGCATGGACAAGATGTACAGGAACTTATACAAAAAGGCCTGTAGTTCTGTTTCTCATACACAGGAAAGCTTCTGAGACCATCCATGATAAACTGTGTGAATGTCCGTGTCAACCTCTCAATGAAATCGTTTGATGTGATCGATATCTGTATTCATTTTTTTTAAAAACAGGTGGTTCATTGAGTAAAATAGTTAACACTGAATCAAGTTTATTACTTCAAATGGTGCATTTTCATAAACAAGCCTTTTTTATTGCAGGAGATTGTGCTGTTTCAGATGTCAGAGCTATGCCACACAATCACAACTTCAATCTCTGAGAGCATGCTTCTCACATATATCTCATATCAACATCTGCAAATTGAACAGTTTCTCTCTAGAAATGTTCTTCTGCCCTAATCACCTTGTATTTTTCTTTTATTTTTAATTAATATTAACTTAGAAATGAACAGAAAGATATACTATATAAAATGAATTTCCCAAGAATTTAAACCCTGTTTTAACTGATAGTTTTTACTTTTCTTCTAGGTATATTTCTTAGCTCATAAGAAATAGCTTTTTTAATATTCATTTTTTATTTGTTCTTTTTAGTTATACATGACAGTAGAAAGCTTATATAATCATTTTCTTCCTCTTTTCTTTAGTTCTTCTTTAGAAGAACTACTTTATAAGATACCTAAAATGTGTAAGATTAGACATAGCAGCGGCCATGTATAAACCGTGAATAACTAATTTTTAAGATAGAATGCTTTGCACAATTTTCTTCAAGGGCCATGCCTTTTGATGCAAGTAGAATCAGAAAATAGCCTATATCATCAAGTATGTAGAAACTCAGTAAAAATAGGGACTTGTAATTTAAACTCTTTGGCATTTTGAAGCAGCCTCACTTTATTGGACACTTGGAACCATAGGGAAATAAAATAATATGGCAGAGTGCTTTTTAGTTAGGCACTCAAAATTTTATTGGTTGAATAATAAAATGAGCTCCTCGTTTCCCATCCAACACATAACCTATGAATCCAGTGACACTTTGAAGATATGAAACAAAAGTCAGTTGCCAAATTCACCAGAGAGTGAATGAAGGGAAAGCAAAGTGTTTGAAATAAGTAAAATTTATTTACAAGCTTGAAGAGTTGACTACAAGATATTTTCTCATTGACTATCATTGGTTAAGTCCACAGTTGTGATTTAAAGAGAAAAAGAAATGACTTGCAGTCTACTGAAATTAAAATTAAAATGGGAAATTGGATAACTTTGTGTTAGGAAACAATATACATGTGTTATCTAATAATAGAACTTTTAACTTCAGGTTAAGAATGTTTTAGTATAGCAATCTGTGATATATAGAAAAGGGCATGGCAATATGAGCTGGAGTCCTAGGCTTTCTCCCATCCCTGCCATTTTCTAGTTGAATCTCTTTAATTCTCTAGTCCTTAGTTTCCTCAGCTGTCAAATAAAGGGAATGGTATGGCTGTTAAACCATGTTCTGTGGACCCAGACCATGGTTCTAAGAGATGTTTATAGGAATGTAGATATAATTTTTTATTGGTCATGTAAGTTTCATGAAAGTTGGTTTGACACACACATGTGGGTGCATGTGTATGTGTCTTATTGAGTCCTACGTAGAATGGCAGGAATGAAAATGGATGCTATTAATGTGTGGGGGCAGCACTTATAAACTGGGGCTGTTAGCCAAGTTAGGTCCTAGGGTCTCCATAATCATACTGAAAACTACCATGTGGGAGACTTTAAGAAATTCTGGATAAACCTTTTACAGTATCTAGTAGAAAGTCTGACCCATAATTGATGCTTCTTAAATATTTATTGAATTAACCTAGAATTTCCTAACCTAAATTGAGCATATAACAATGTTGTTACAGCCACTACTCCCTGTTTCCCCAACTCCCCATTGCTCCACCCCAAGTGCTCTTATCTGGTACATTATCTGGTACATCATCCAACTGATGAAATGCTAACACTACACAAATACTGAGTTACCCTCTGGCTGTAGGTTAAATAATGTTTTGTACAACAAGCTTTTGAATTTTAGCATTGAATAATGAATGCTCTTTTTAGAAAGGCATATCCTCAGTGGAAATTAGTGTTTTTTTGGGAAAAGATGAAAAATTCTTCTGTTTTAAAAGTTGCTGTTTAATGAAAATAACAAATTTGTATATCAAAGACAATATTATATACTATCACAGAAAATCTTCTGAATAAGTAACATGAAAATTACTTATTGTGCCTATGTCTGCTATTAGCTAAGAGCCACAAAAAGTAGAACTCAAAGAAAATTTAGAAACTGATGACCATCTTCCTATGGATTAAATTTGGCATATCTATAAAGAATGGGAGCATATTCTTAGATATACAGCATCTTTGCTGCATCTGATTATTTTCCATTTCCTAATGGAAGGATTGGTCTTTGTTGTTCTATTACTCTCACTTATTGTGTATTGTAGTGTTTTTAAATAGTAAAACCTTCAAGTACTAATATAGTTGTATTTTCTCATTCATAGAAGCAAAAGGTACAATTGTTTATTCCTATCCTTTATTTCCCATAAATGTGATAATAATCATTGGGCTTACTATGAAATAAGTAAGATTGTTTTCTTCCTTTTATATATTTTCTTCTTTAAATAGAAAGGGAATTTTAGGAAAGAAAATGTTTAATTTAGCCAAGAAATGACGACATACCATTGGGAGAATCTTCCCTGGTTCTACTACTAGTTATGGTACTCTAAAATCATTTATCCTTCTTGAAACTCAGTTTTGTCACATATAAAGCATTGAAATGATTAATTTAAAATAATAATTTTAGCAGTCTAACATTTATATAATTGTACAATTGATTAATGTGTATGATCAGGAAGTCCTAGGCAGTGTAGTTGTGATTTGATTTCAAAGATTAAGCTCCTGATTAAAAACTAGGAGCAAGTAGAGAATCATTGTGTTTACTTGCTAATAATAGCTTTATTAAGATATAATTAGCTCTCAAAGTACATAATTAAGTAGTTTTTGCTATTTTCACAGAATTATGCAAACATAACTACTAGCTAATTACAAAATATCATCCCCCCCCAAAAAAATCCTTTAACAATTTGCAATTACTTTCCAATATCCTGTCCCCTCAACTCTTGGAAAACACTAATCTGCTTTCTGTCTCTCTACCTATTATGGACATTTCCTATAAATGGAAGCATATAATATGTGACCTATTGTGTCTACATTCTTTCACTTAGGATGTTTTCAGGGTTCATAAAAATATAACATGTTTCATTATTTAATTTATTTTTATTAGTAAATAATTCATTGTATGAATGTACCATGTTTTGTTTATCTATTCAGTTGATAAGACATTTGGGGAATTTTCACTTTGGGCTCATTATGAAATTTGCTATGAATATTATATTCAATTTTTTTTTCCAGGAAAATGCCAGTTTATTGAATATATTACACACATTGTCATTTTTGTTCCTTGTGATGACACTGAATGTGTTAGTACATGTGCTCTGATGAGGAAACTAAAAGCCAGAGGCAAGCTCATGAGTGGCTAAGCCAGGACTTGCATCCAGATCTTCTGGACCCAAAGCTCATGCTGATTAGATGACCTGGTGATGGGAAGAGGGAAATAAGGGTGGTTTCCCCAAAAGTATAACCAGAAAGTGTCATTAGCTTTATCATAACACCTCCTATGACCCAAATTTGATTCTTTTTTTTTTAAATTTTTTATTGTTGGCTGTTCAAAACATTACATAGTTCTTGATATATCATATTTCACACTTTGATTCAAGTGGGTTATGAGCTCCCATTTTTACCCCATATACAGATTGCAGAATCACATCAGTTACACATCCATTGATTTACATATTGCCATACTAGTGTCTGTTGTGTTCTGCTGCCTTTCCTATCCTCAATTTTTGTGTGGACATATTGTTTCATTTCTTGTGAGTACATACCTAGAAGTTGAATTTCTGTGTCATATGGACTTATGACATTCCAAGGTGGCCTACCTTTAAGAGGACCCCAGTAGCCTTTGACTCAGAGGACCTCAAAAGCCTTCTCTTGGATCATCCATGGCTTTTGTTTATGACAGCCTGTGGTTTTTGCCTTCATGGATCCAGGTGCCTGAGCTACTACCTACCCCAATAGGAGATGCTTCAGCCAGTGTCACTGTGGACATACTGACACTGGTTTCCAGTACAGTTACTGCATATAACTGGCCCTGACCCCATTACCCATACCAATTTTAACTACCTTGTATGCCTGTGACAAGTTCTTGTTACTGAAGGCATGCACTCAGTTGGCCCTGGCTTTTGCCATAGTATATACAAGCACTGCTGGTTTGTATCACTGTATGCTTGCCTTCTTCCAGCCCTCAACAGCATATGTACTTGCTATTGATACATTGCTGGTTTGTACCACTATACATGTTCCAGCTCATAGCCACCTTTCACTGCTCCACTACTGGCTCTAGCTTTTGCAAACATATGTACTCACATCATCATCTCTGGCCTTTCCCTATGTGGGTGCACTCATCATTGGCCTCAAAAGCCCCAAGGACCCCCAACAACCCCTGTGGATACCATAGAACCCTACAGTATTCACTGCTGAGGACCACACTGGTGGTCAGTGTTTTAGACCTCAGCTGCCTGAGCTATTGTGCCACTTATCCTACCCTCCTGCAGATCTGAAGTTGTGGTGGCATGCCCCTTCATTTGGTTCTACATGTACCACTAGTCCCAGTGCCATGGCATGTTCATGCTCCTCCAAAGATAGTCTGTTAAATTTGATTTCTCCAAATTGATGACTCCAATGCAAGAGTACAGGGAAACATGAATCCATCAAAAGTATACATTTTAACTTAAGTATACATTTTAACTTACCTTAAACAAATGGAAGAAAGTGAAACATGAATTACCTGACAAAAATTCAAAATAATTATTTTAATGAAGCTCAGTAAGATAACAAGATAACACAGACTAACAAAAACAGGAAAACAAACCATGAACAAAATGTTGAGACGCCCAACAAAGAGAATAAAATACAACAAATTCTCAAGCTGAAGAATACAATGAACTAAAAAATGCACTAGAGAGCTTCAAGATCAGACTTAAACAGAAGAACTATTGAATTCAAAAATAGATTATTTAGTTGGAGGGAAAAATTAAAAGTATATAGTATTAATGGGACAGTGCAAATAACCAATACATGCATTATAAAAGGTTAAAAAGGAGATATAAAGGGGCAGCAGGCTTTTAAAGAAATAACTGAAACTTTTCAAACCTTGGAAGTAGACATCCAGACTCAAGAGAAATAGAAGACAAGACATCCAGAAGAGTCCAAAATGATTGAATAAAAAGATGTTTACAATGAAATGCATTACAATTAAACTGCCAAAATACAATGGACCTTTGTAAAAACTACCAGTGGATTTCTTAACAAACCTCGGAAGCCAGGATTCATATGATTAAAGCAGTGAAATAACTGAAAAGAAGTGTATCTTGAAAAGCTATCCTTTAAAAATGAATGGGTGATAAAATCTTTCCCAGACCAAAACGGAGGGTGTTTGTCCTACCTGCTTAAGGGAGTTCTTCAAGGAAAATATAAAGAATGCTAAATAGCAACTTGATAGAATATGAAAATATAAATCCCACAGATAAAATCAAATATAGAGTGAAATAGGAGCTAATTTAACACTGTAATGGTGGTGTGCTAATAATCTTTAATCCTAATATAAAGGTTAAAAAACAAGTATTGAGGGGCTGGGGATATAGCTCAGTTGGTAGAGTGCTTGCCTCACATTCACAAGGCCCTGGATTCAATCCCCAGTACCCTTACTCCCCCCCAAAAAAGAAATTGTGTGTGTGTGTAGACTAACTGTAATGACAAAAATTCAGTAAACAGTTCACTATACAAAAAAGCAAACTCTGATTTCAAAAACATGAAGTATATGTAGAAGAAGCTAAAATTGTTTTGTTTGTAATTGAACATAAGTTGTTAGCAAATTAAAATAGATGGCTACATACCAGAAGTTTCATACAATAAACCACAAAGGAAAAAAGTATAGATATACAAAAGATAGAGAAGGTAATCAAACCAAATCACTATGAAAAATAAGGAAGACAGGAATATAGGAATAAAATAGTTGCAAATCAGAGAACAGGTTAATAAAATGGCAGTAGCAAGTTTTTATTTACCAGTCATTAACAGTAAGTGTAAATGGATGAAACTTCCCAATAAAAAGACATATAATAAACAGATAAAAAAACCAAAACCTAGCTGTATTCTGTCTGCAAGAGATATTTTGGGTATGAAAGCTGAAAGTGAAGGATGAAAGATTTTCCATCCAAGGGCTTACCAAAGACAACAGGAGCAGCTATACCTTTATCAGACAAAATGGACTTTAAGTCAAAAACTATAGAGACAATATTATTGTATAATGAAAGATTCAAGTCAATGGAAAAATATAACAATTATAAATCTATCTGCATCCAACATTAGAGCACCCTAAAGTATAAGAAAATTGACAACAAAATGATAATACTAGGAGGCCTAAAACACCTAGTTTAAAGTTGCTTTTCTGAAACAATAAATTGTCAAACCCTTAGAATAACTAAGAAAAAATAACTTTCAGATAAAATTAGGAGACATTACAATGGATGACAGAGAAATAAAAGATATCATAGTCTATTATACATTATATACCAAAAAATTTAGTAACCTATGTAAAAAGGATAAATTCAACCACTCAGAAAATAAAAGAGTTTCAAGACTGAATCAGGAAGAAATAACTTGACCAATTACAAGAAATTCAATTCTCCTTGAATTTCAACCAAGCCCACCATCCAATGGCTTCATGGGTGAATTGTTTCACATATGCAAGGAAAATTAACACTATTTCAAAACATATGAAAGCTAAACACTCAAACTCATTTTGTGATACCAGCATCACCCTGATTCCAAAACCAAAAACACTACAAGAAACCTTAAATCTCTGATGAGCAAATATACAGAAACATTTGGTAAAATACTAGAAAATTAGTTTAGTAACACATTAAAAAGATCATATGTCAGAATAAAATGGTATTTAAGGATAAATACCATTTGATTCTGACATATGATCTCTGTATCCTTGGGATACAGAGATAGTTCAATATACAAAAATAACTGTGATATATAAAGAATGAAATACAAACCAAATGTTCATCCTAATAGATGCTGAAAGGCTTTGTCAAAATTCAATATCCTTTCATGATAAGGAATTTAATGAAATACCCATAGCTAGCATTTATATTACTCCAACTTCTGTTATTGTAAAAAAATACATGATATAATCAACTTTAAAAGAACACAGGTTTATTTTAGCTCACGATTTTGGAGGTTCCAGCTCATGATTGGCTCACTGCTTTGGGGTTTGGACATACATTATGGTGGGAAGTGTGCAGTGGGGCAAAGATGTTTACTTTGTGGCTCAGTTGTGAAAAAGAGACCAGAATATCAGTCTTTTTCAAGAGTATGATCCCAATGACCTAAACTCTTTCACTAGATCCCACCTATTAAAGTTTCCACCACCACCCAAAAAGCACCATTCTGGGGAACAAACCTTTAAACACATGGGCCTTTGAGGGACTTAAGGTCCAAACTATAATTTATGGGAAAAAAATTGAAAATGTTTCTTCTGTGGTCTGGGGCATAGCAAGAGGCCCCCTTCACTGTGGTTCAACATATTATTGGAAGTTTTAGTCTGAATAATTAGGCAAAATTTTAAAGGGCACCCAAATTATAAAGGAGATGCAAAAGTATCTCTGCAGATGACACTATCATATTTATTAAAACCCTAAAGATCTACACAAAATCTGATAAAATTAATAAATTCAATTAAGCTTCAGGATACAAAATCATCACATAAAACTCAGTATCATTTACAGTCACTAACATTGAACTATCTGAAAGAAAAAATAAAACAATACCATGTAAGTTAGTTTTTAAAAAAAGGCTCTGGGATTAACCAAAGAAGTGAAAAATTGTACATGGAAATTTTGACACATTGATGAAATTTTAAAAGACTAATGTTGGAAGGATATACCATGTTTATGGACTAGGAACTTTTTTTTTTTTTTTTTTTTGGTACCAAGGATTGAACTCATAGGCACTTAACCACTGAGCCACATCCCCAGCCCTTTTTTATATTTTATTTTGAGACAGGGTCTCACTGAGTTGCTTAGGGACTTGCTAAGTTGCTGAGGCTGGCTTTGAACTTAGGATCCTCCTGTACCAGCCAAACCACTGGGATTACAGGCATGTGCCACTGAGCCTGTCCGTGTTCATGGATTGGAATACAGTACTGTTAAATGCCTATACTACCCAAAGTCATCTCCATATGCAGTTTTTATTAAAATCCCACTGGCTTTTTTTATTTTTACAAAGCTGGAGAAAACAGTCTATTCATTTGGAACATAAAAGTCCTTAAATAGGCAAAGTCATTTTGAACAAGAATAAAGCTGGAGATATTAGTCTTTCTGACTTCAAATTATACTAAAAAATCTGTAGTAAATCACTGTGGCACTGACCAAAAAAAACCACAGATATAAACAAATAGAGGAAGGAGGCCAAAAGTAAAACCTTGCATATGTAGTCAAGTAATCTTTGGCAAGGGTGTCAATAATGCAAAATGTGGAATAATCTCTTTTAAAAATGATGTGCTAACTGGCCATTACCCAAAAGACAAAAGATACAAAGTGTTGTTGATGCAGAGAAAAGGGAACCTCTGTACACTGTTTGTGAGAATATACATAATCACTGTGGAAATCAGTTTGAAATTTTTCTCAGGAAATGAAGGATAAAATTACCATATGACCCAACAATCCCTCTTCAAGAGTTATAGCCAAAGAATTGAAATCGGGGTCACCAAGAGATATCTGCACTCCTATTTTTTCTTATAGCATTATTAAAAATAGCCATAATATGGAATCAACTTTTATATCTATCAACAGATGCATGAATAAAGAAAATTGTGTATGTACAATGGAATACTACCCTGAATATTGATGGTAGGACAGGCATACTAGTCACCATTTAAAATAGAAGGAAGTCTTGCCATTTGTTATGTGGATGAAGCTGGAAGACACTGTGTGAAGCAAATTCAGCAAAACAGAAAAAAAATCCTACATGATCTGACTTATATGGGAATCCAAAACAAACTCATAGGAGGAGGGGAGAGGATGATGGTGGTTGAGAGCCATTAGAGTACATAAGGAAATGAGGTGATGTTGGTCAAGGGGTATAAAGTTTCCACTGTGTACTGGACCTAATAGGTTTCTGAACTCAAGATTCAAGGAGCTTACCCTGAATATTGATGGTAGGACAGACAAGTTAAAAAAAACTGTTAATATATATGAATTGACTCAGTTTTGCATATTCTGTGTAAGCTCTTGTGTTATAGGTGCATTTCTTCATCTTTGTATCACCAGCACCATAAGTTAGGCATATCTTTATTATAGCACTTAACAAACCAAATTATCAGTGACTCCCTTAACTCTTCCTGCTGGTCAGTGATGTCACACGTCATTTATCTCTGTATCCTATGGCTCATGGGAGATGTTCAATATTTGTTGAATGACTGCATTAAAAAATTCATGATGGGCCATTAAAAGCAATGCAAAGTCTAACTCTGTCCAGATATAAGAATTGAGATGTCCTGACTGATAACCCTTTACTATCAGCAAGTGCTTGCAGCCATGAGACAGAAGAAATGGAAAAGATAGTAGAAAAAACATGGTTTGTCCCATGGTGCTCAAGAAGAAAGCCATAGTTCCTCAATTCAATTAGTTAATGATTCTGTAGCATAGTTTTTCAAAAGTATATTCTTGAATTATTTTTTAAAAAGTATAATGGCTTGCTTTTTTGTCTGTCTTTCTAACCAAGATTCACAGAGCTTATTATATGAGTAGGACCACCTCCTAAACTGCTACTGCAAGAGATGATAAGTATAGTGTTAGGCAATAGATCAAGGAAGAAATTACGTACAGTTGTTCTGGGCACCTTATATTGCAATGGAATTTAAATCCCTTCTATGAAATGCAAATTTTTTAGTTCCCAAGAAGACCCTTAAAAATCATTTTTCCCAAATGTCTTATCTTTTGTAATTCACAAAGCAGTTCATTTTTGACTGAAGGATTGTATCTTCTAGCGCTCATACATAACCGTCCTAGAACTTGTGCTTATCTCTCTTAATTCATAAAAGGTATAATGTGAATATTGAAGTAAAATAGTCTCAATGAAATGCAATCTTTTATATATCTTAAATTTTAGTATATTGCATTCAAGCTGGGTTAAATAATGTACATGAGCCTGATGGAAGAGAATGTATTCTGCTTGGATTTGTATAGTGTTTGAATGTTTTCAGGTTTGTGGGGGAGTGAGAAAGTGCTTTTTTTTGTTTTAATCCCCATGCCTCTTCAGTATATATTTTTGAAGTTCTTAAACCAAGGGAATTAGACTAATATTCATTCAAGGCTGTAATCTGTACTTGGTGATTTGTATACCTTATCTGACTTGATTTTCACAACATGTCTATGACCCAGGGAAGTTATGTGAAATTTCAGTTTTACAGATGAGGAAACTCCTCAGCTTTAAACTACTGTAATTGGTCAGTGGTAAATAACAGCTAGTAAATGGTAATGTTGGACTTGAATCTAAATACAACTCTGCCTCTATAATAGGTAAGCAGTTTAAAAAAACTCCACTTGTTATAGTTCTTGTTTCAAAATGGTGGAGCTGATACCTCTTCAGAAAGAAGCTAAGTGGATTCAAATGAAAACTTAATGCATTAAAATGTAAGGACATTGCCTGAAGATGTATTTTAACTGATCCAAGATCTCATAGAGACCATAGTTAATGTATAGGATAGCTCCACATACAGGACTTTGGATATGGTTCCTTTAGATATCCTTCCTTTGGGTATGTTTCCCCAGCCATGTTCTTTAGTTGAGCAATGACAGAGTCAAGCCTCATTACATTTCTGTTAAAGTAAAAGTTTAAAGAAATTTCTGTGTTTATGATATAGTTCAGAAAGAAGATATTAGAAAAACCCTTAGTGAAAAACAATGTCTTGGAACATATATAATTGAATTGAAAACAAGTGCATCCTGGTAGTGATTTCTGCTTATCAATGAAGGTAATTAATTCTTCACTAATTTACTTGAGTTTTTTGTTGTTTTTTTAAGTGTAATTAGTGAGTTTTGCAAACAAAGAGTGGAGGAAATTTATGCATGTACGGTTTTTCAACTAATATATTCATATTTCCATTACCTGGGATTGAAAACAATGTTGCATAGTAGGAAAAAGTACTTCCAACTTTTTTGGACTTCATTTTTGTCTGTTTATGAAATAGGATATTAATAACTATTGCCCTTCATTCTTCAGAGAAGTAATAGGATTAAATGGCCATCTTTGACCATTCCCAGACATATAATCATAATACCTTGCTTTTATGAATGATCTGGGAAACTGAAGTCTGCAGCTTAGAGTGTTCCATACTGCCTAGAAGCAAAACTATGGACTCTAGAGCTGAACAGAATCACTGTTACCTTTTCTGTCACCTCTATGTTAAAGTGAACTTTTGTGAAGATGTTTCTCATTTGTAAGAATAAAAGCCATTTCATATAGTTGTCCGATCCTTTGAAGAGTCAGTATGTGTGGAGCATGTGGTGCGATGCATGAGGCTCAGTAAAGGGTGACTGCAACTACTGAGAGTCTAAGTCAGTGGAGAGAGCATTTTGGAAGATCTTAAGGATCTGAGTAGAGGAAAATAGTGGAGATGAGCTATGTGAATAAATATGGAGAAATATTTACAAATTTTTAAAGATATAAGACCAAATTATTCAGTGTTTTGTATGATCTATAAGTTTTCTAGTTAATTTATGTAGGCTGTATGATTTAGCATAAAGGACAGTTTACACCTGGGTTTGAATTTTGTACTGTGGTGAAATCAGAAATCTTGAACCTTAATTTTATTACTTATAAATAGGGATAATATCCACCAAGGCTGGGTACTTTAAAGACTATATGAGGTAGTAAATGCAAAGTGACTAGTATTGTATCTAACAAACAGTAGATGCCTAAAAATTATTAGTTCCTTTTTCCTCTCAATAGTTTCATTGTTTTGCACTCAAATCCACACAGGCATAGATAATTCCTCCACCATCATTATTTCTTTTTTAAAAAAGAAACATGTACCTTGACAATTGAAACTAAACATGAATTCAGTTTCTGAAAATATTGTCCCTTTGAACTTTATGTGTGACTTTTCATTAGTTATTATTTTTGAAATAAAAGTAATTTGTTTTGAGACTATATCCTCTGAAACTAATTTTAATTCTAGGAGGTTTGTTTTATCTGTTTTGGATTTAGATGTTTTATAAAAAACCATATTCTTCTTAGAGGATGTTAGAGTTAGAAATTAATCATCCTAGTTTAACAGAAGTGACCCTGGATCTTCTCAACTAGATGAAGATTTCTATAAATTTTAGGAATTTTTTAATGAATTTTTAAGTTATAAGGCTGTATGTGTACACATGTGAGCATTTTATTTTAGCTATTATATCTTATTAGTTATGAATTACTCACTTCTCAGAAAAGTAGCCTAGTGATTATATATATGACATCCATAGTCATACAGCTAGATTCAGATCCTGCTTCAGTCACTTATCTATATGACCTTAGACAAATTACCTGATGTCTTTGTGTTTTAGTTTGATCATTGTAAAACAAAGATATTTTCAGTACCATTGGATTATTTTGAAGATTAAATCAGTTCACAATTAAACAAGTGCTTAAAACAAGGCTTAGCACAGAAGAGCTCTAGAAATGACATTTGTGGTAGTGGTTGTTATATAATTTACAATATATTAAACCCACCTAAATATTTATTTTCTGAAACAATTACTTAGTATTCCTTTCCTTCCCTATTTTAAAAAACTTGTAGCTAAATAAAAAGTTACATTGAAAAGAAATTACCACTCTATCCAACAAGGATATGTTAAAAATATTTTGAATTTTCCTAAAATATAGGAAAAATTATGCTATCCCATTCTCTGTGGCCCAGCAGTGGTTCACATATGATATATTCCTACCACTGTGCTGCATAAAGAATGCATTTTGGCATAGACACTACATGATTTGGAAAGGTTTGTGTTGATAATCTTAAACAAAAACAGTCAAAATCATTTCAGTTCCACTGGAAACCCAGTGGGGAATTGTTTTTTTTTTTTTTTTTTTTTTTTGCCAAATGAGGGAAAAGATGCCAGCATTTGAGTTAGGAAGTATTTTATGTTGGGAACATAAAAGAAAAAAAAATCTGACTTTATTGAATTTTTACCTACCAAACATTTAAAGCTTTGGAAAGGCTATTTTTTGCTAGACCGTTTAATAAATAATAGCGTGTGTTGTATTAGTCAGTTATCATCTTGACATACTTTTACCTATTTTATTGTATCCTTCCATAATATGTATGTACATGACCTTCACAGTCATACTGCTAGATTTAGATCCTGTGAATTAGGTAGGGCAGGAATTATAACTTACATTTTATCAAGGGGCAAAACTCAAGTTTGGGTTAAGCATGTATTATATATATAGGTCACATGGTGGGATTATAAGGAGCTGAACTAGGGGCTTACACCCAAATATTAGTATTTTATCACAAATACATTAGCTTTTCCCTATATTATTTGATTTTCTTTAGGCATTGAATTTAATGTGGGATTTTAAGCATTTATATTTGATTCACAGTGATTTACCCATTTTTATGATGGAGGAGGCTCATTTCCCATTATTTAGAACACCTTATGTTTGTGAATAACTTTGAACATTTGTTTTTGTACTTCTAACTCTCCCTTTTGGTCAGTTCTACTATTTATTAACCCACCTCTGCTACATTGAACAGGGAGGAACATTAAACTAGTCAATTTGTAACTTGTCAGCAGTTAGTTGTATTAGAAAGGTTAGTATAGAAGAGCCTGTAGGACTTAAAAAAATCCAGTGATCTTATTACCATATGTAATAGGAAATTATAATAATTTGGAAAGATTTTCCCTAGGAATAGCCTCAGAACTAGAATATCTGAGACATACATGATATTCATCGTAGTTAAATGTACATGACTACATAACAGCCAGGACTAAAGCTGTGTGGCTTTTGGTTATTTGTTTTCAAGGTTAGTGGTTCCAACCCCTAACTGATCAGACTCACTCATGTTAAAAATCTCAACCTCTAGAGATCTTGATGCAGAAAATCTAAAAATATATTTTAAGAAATTTCTCTAGATGGTTGTAATGCTTGCCCAGCTTGTCCGGGACTTTTTTCCTGTTTTTAGTTTCTCCTTCTTTTAAAACATTTTCATTGTTGTAGCCTCTTCATCATGTGAGTGGTCTTTTGTGTTTTAGAAAAATAGGAACAAAATGGCTTGGGCTCCAGTAAGAACAATGGTTGGTCCTTGATTTCCATGGGAATTATATTTATTTTTCGTTATCCGTGGCTAACTTTTAAATCCTGGGTTGTCATTTCTTCCCCTTCATCTAAGCAATTAACAAGGTCATTCATTTATGCATTCATTAAGCAAAAGATGAATACCTTCTATGAGCTAGAAATTATGAGTACCACTGGGCAAATGTAAAATAAATAAGAAGCTATATCTTGCCTTCTCACAAACACATGACATTGTATTGTAAAATGTTAGGTGTATTATGCATATGCACACTACAAATGTGCATGGTAGAGATGTTAGATGGACACTTAGCAGTGTGAATGTGGAAGCAACCTCTTCCTTAAGAATGAAGGAACATACCATAGAGGAATCAGCCTTTCATTTTGATCTTAAGGAATGTTTTTTAGAAGAGGAGGGGCAGGGCATTAGAGCTTGCATAGAGGCACAAGGAATCCCAGTTTATTCAGAGAACTGAAAGAAGTGCTGTATGGTTAAGGTATTAAAATACGTAGTGAAATTGGGTCCAAGATAACATTGAAATGTATGCTCAAGTCACATCAAGGCCCTTCTTTGGATGCCTTATTATAGAATTCAAATTTTTCCCTCTTCTAGAACAGTCCTTGAATATTCAAGTAATGCCATTTCATTCTTGTAGTATCATTAAGCAGATTTATCTGACATTCAAAATACCATTTTAAGGTCAAGGGTAAGAGTTTTGTGGCCTGTGCTTATCTTCTTAAATATTCTCACAGGATTTCCATTCTACTTTATCAGATAAGTATTTGAAAATACAGCAAGAGATATCAAAGGAATCTTTATTTGCTGAGGAGTTATGAGTAGTATGAGATCAAAGGATAGAGACTAAAGTCATTTGTCTGAAAAGGCTTTGAGGGTACAGAAGAGTGGCAGAGTTCAGTCTGAAGGATGAGTCGGATTCAGGTTCAGGTAGGAAAAGAGAAAAGTACTTTAAGAGGTGGATGGAGCAGCAGCCTAAATAGGCAAGGGTTAGAAAAAGGCTGGGGCAACAAGTTGATGGCTGGCTGGAGCTAGAGTGTCAGGGCCCGTGAGGGAGTGTGGACAGTAAGGACACGTGGACTCTAAAGAAATAAAACTTTCACAGATAGTATGAATTTCTGAATTGACTTAATCCATCCTAAAGATCTCCCAAAAACTCAAAGCTCAGCTGAACTTTTAAAAATAAAAATTAGCTAATATGAAAGTATTTCCTGGCAGTAAGATACTTTCAAACTTTCACTAATTGGCAGAGATTTTCCAGCTTTAACCCATGTTGTTTAAATGCAATGGAAAAAGCTTTAGATATCTTTTTATGTTTGATTTAAACTTCATTTTCCCCCAAAATGGGAAATATGGCCTTTGGCCCTGTGTGCACAAAAGTAGCACTATTGTCACATCTTCATCTGCTAGATGCCTGTGTTTTTAGTGGATATTCATCATTCATTGTCTGCAAATGCCAATTTGCAAGGATAATTCTTTTCCTTGGGTCAAGAATGAAACTATATAGATAAAAGAGCCCCCATTTCTTAATCATCAAAGATTAATATAAAAATAGTTTATGATAAACTTAGAATCATTATTGTTTTGTATAAGTTTTTCCAAATAAGTATTTTAAGTTTAATTGGACTTTTCATATTATTTTCTGATTTTAAAAAGTGGCACTGCATAACCATTAAAAGGTTCAGAGAAATAGTTATATGAAAGTAAGAGCATTGAGACAACTTGATAATATTTTTATACATTTTACTGCAATATTCTACACATTTTTGAAAGATTTTGTAGCCTACAAGATGTTGATGTACATACTATTTTCTACATAGTTTTCTAAAATGATACATAAATAACATTTCTTACTGGCTATCTAATATTACTTTGATATATTGATATACCACAAAGCAATTTAACCACTCCACTATTCTTAGTTTTTTTTTTTTTCTTTCCATAATGTGTGTGTGTTTAAGTTGGGGAGAAATGTGCTTACACCAGAGGTAGGTCATCTGATCTACTGATGCAGTGTGCAAGCAGAAATGGATGACAGAAGGGATGTTCTTCCATCCTTATTTGTTTGTACCAGAACCTTCCATTGTTTACATACATTTTAGCCTCAGTGCCATTTTCAGAAGCTTTATTTGTCTCACTCACTATTTTGGTTTGGATAAAGCTTAA